CTACTATCCCCCCTCCCCTCCCCTCCCTGACTTTATTTTTTAAAATATTTTTTTGTATTATTTTATTTTATTTTTATGTGTTGCTGAGGATTGAACCCATCGCCCTGCAGGTGCTAGGTGAGCACTCTACCTCTGAAACACAACCCTAGCCCCTGTTGTCTGACTTTAAATTTTCTTTCATCAGAACTCAAGACCTGAGGTTTAGCACTTTCCTGTGACAAGAGCACTAAAAGGATCCACCAGTAAGGCCAGCTTCTTAGCTGACAAAAGGGCTCATGGACATGAGCAAGGGTCACAATCAGGTACATTTCCATAATTGTGGACCTAAATGGGGGATTCAACAGGACTAAAATAGACACATGAACACAGGGGATGCCAATGAGCAATAAAATACCAATGAGCATGGAAAGCATGGAGAGGGGAGAAGAGAGAAAACAGGAAGGCCCCAAACCTATGAAAACAACAATTCAGTACTTTCCCATCAGACTGTGGCACTGGGAACCATTCTCTTTTGCCAAATCTGTTACTTTGTTCATTTTGCTCTTGTTCTTGCTTATTCTCTTTGTGTTTTGTTCTTCAATTCTTCACTGAATGGAGACAATGAAGCTGAGACCCCTAGACAGTAACAGATAAAGACAGAGAAAAGTTTCAAGGCCAAACTTGGCAATGGTGAGGATACAGAAGACTCTTAAAGTTATACTCTGAGTTGAGGCTGGATGTGGAATTTTAATTGAAAGAGGTCAGTAGAGAATTACAGATAAGAATCAAAGATAGGTTATAAACAAGTTCTTAGTGTGTAAATGTAATATAAGTGGGGATATATCTGCTGAGAGAAATATAAATTATATAATATTTTATCTTATATAGATGGAGGAGTGAAAACCAAAGGAAGGCTTTATTTTGCATATGTGTATAAATGCACACCACCACCCACCTGTGAACAATGACCAAAATAATTTTCTTGTGTTAAAACTGGATCATGCTGTGGAAGAAGGATACCAGACTCTTTTTAGACTGATTTATTGGGGCTGGCAAGTGCAGGGTCAGCAAAAGCCAGGAACAGGGACACTCCCAATGAAGTCAACACCAAGTAAGGACACAAAACCAGAGACAGGAGTAGACAGGTTGAGCAAGATCTCTTCAAAGTGTTCTCACTACACTCACAATCAACAAACAGTACCTCATCTCTAGTCACCAAAAGGCATATGTGGTTGTTTTTTTTTGTTTTTGTTTTTGTTTTTCACTACTTACCAGTTCTGAGGCAGACTTTTCCCTTGGTGTCCAACTGTTTGACTCAATTCTCACCCATAATACCCCAAACCCCCATGTTAGCATTCAATTAATCATCTAGCATTGCTCTGCCATCTGCCTGGACCTTGTTGTTTGTTTGTTTGTTTTTTGGTACTGTGTTCACTTAAACACAGCAACATCCCCAGCCTTTTAAGTTGCTGAAGCTGGCTTTGAACCTTTGATCCTCCTGCCTCAGTCTCCCAAGCTGCTGGAATTACAGATGTTTTCCACCAGCCCCAGCAGGGTCTTTTTTTTTTTTTTTAATAACAAATACTCAAGCATAAGTAAATTGTTTCCCTCAGGGTTTTGACCCCTCTAGCAAATTAACAGGACTTGAACAGAAGATCATAATTTACACCTGCTAAATGAGAAGTAGGTCCTACCTGGGATATAGGACTGGCATCTGAAGTAGGGAGAACACTGTGGAACAGAACCCCCAAACTGGCATCTGATGCCTTCTATTTCCTGGGATTGACCGTCAGATCTAAAATTACAGAATGTTGTGTTGACATGTGACACAGAACTGCTTTGCTGATAGGGAGAAATTGCCACACATTTAGGTGACAAGAGTTGAAGAATTCTGTGCTGGGTTGTATTCAGAGTGTGAGTAGGAAGAACACTTTGGCTGGCCCCTCCTATCTCAGGCATTCCTGACACCACTCCATATATCAGGAAAAGGGAAGAAGATGACCCCAACTCCAGGAATCCAGTCACTGCCTTCTGGCTGAACAAAGAAGCTATTCTGCAATCCCAGTAATTTTAAAATACACAAACTTCATAGATAATAGTTTTGTAATTTTCTTCCTCATCTCTACGGTTAAGACCCACGAATTTTGAACTTGTTAGATTATTAAGATGAACCAATATATCAGAACTTCATCATCCACATTCCATCGACTTCCACTCATCTTTCTTTCTTTTTTTTTTATAAGGACACAATACTTTTATTTCACTTATTTATTTTTATGTGATGCTGAGGATCGAACCCAGGGTCTCGCACATGCGAGGTGAGCACTCTACCGCTGAGCTACAACCCCAGCCCCCCCACTCATCTTTCTTCATTACATTTTCCCCCTCCCTCATGCTTTACTTGTGTCATTCTTACCTTTACTCCCCACCCAAGTTTCTGTTCCTCATTTTATTTCCCTTTCCTCTCCTTTAGTTTATCCACTTCTTTTCTCTATTCTCTTTTTTAATTTGTTGATTTTAGGTATACATGACAGTAGGGTATACTTTGACATATTATACATACAGGCTGTACAACCCACTACAATTTTGATCCCATTCCTGTGGTTGAACATGATGTGCAGTTACACTGGTCATGTATTCATATGAGTATAGGAAAGTTATCTGCCTATATCTACAGATTTTCCTATTCTCATCCCCCCTCAATACCCTTCAGTCCCCTTTGTCTAATCCAATGGACTTCTATACTTCCCTTCCCTACCCTCCCTTGTTATGGGTTAGCAGCCACATTTCAGAAAGAACATTGGACCTTTGGTGTTTCAGGACTCGCTTATTTCACTTAGTGTGATATTCTCCAATTCCATCCATTTACCAGCAAATGCCAAAATTTCATTCTTCTTTATAGCTGAGTCTTCTCCCATTGTGTATACATAGCCCATTTTCTTTATCCTTCCACTGGTTCTTCCCCATTTTGAAACTAGTTTCTCCTCTTGTCAGTCTTTTACCCTGGTCTTTCCACTGTCCAAAGTCTTCACATATTTCTGACTCTTTCTTCGCCCATCCATATTTTCCCTGTGCCCTGACTGTTGCAGTCATCTGTCCCCATGCTCAGGACCCCTACTGCCCTAGGTTTTCTCTCTTAAGTGCTCCTCCCTGGGGTCTGTCCTTGTTCTGTCCTAGAGGAAGAACCTTCCGTCTCTCCCAGCACTGCCAGAAGTCCTTCCCCCTCACTGTTCTTTTCCTTGTGCTGCTCTCCTTCATCTTTCTGGAGACAGAGATTCTACATTTTTCTATTTTCCTTTCTCTCACCTAAAACTTTCTGTCTTCTTTTTTCACTCTTGCTATCACAAATCCTTCACCGTCCTCCACTTTCCGATGTGTGTAAGGGTCTTTCTCTTTTCTCTTTACCAGTTTCTCTGTTTCTCCCCATCTTTTTTTTTTTTTTTTTTTGCTCGCACTCCCAGGGAAGGGGATGGAGAGAGAAGCCCACTTTGGGAGGAACATATTTTCCCCTGGAGTGAAACATGGGATCAGTCAAGGTCGCCACCCCAAAATGCAAGGGGAGGGAGACTGCAGAGGGATGATCTGCGAAGCCGACAACTGACCAAGGAGGACAGAGCCCAGGATGGGTGAGAACGCTCCTCTCAGGATGGATCTGCGGTGCTCCCTGCGGGGCCAAAGAGAGTGAGATGTGGGGAAGATCTGCCCAGTGTGGAAGGGGACGCCACCGAAGACTGGAGGAGGACACCGTGAAAAGGGACGCGTCCACGTCCACGCAGCCCGAGGGCAGACATCAGGCAGGACCGGGGCAATCGTGCCACACGCTGACCTCTGGCTGTGGGTAACCACGCAGCCAATCTATAGCGTCCACACAGAGAACTTCGGGCAGCACCGGGACCCTCCGGGCACTATCTGCTCAGGGGCCTGCTTGGCTGCGCGTGCAGCCGGGAGGAAGGAGGGAGTGGCCAGGGCGGGAGCGCGGGAGAGAGGCGGGGTCTGCGAGGGGCTGAGGCAGTGGGTGGGGCCAGGCGGAAAAATGTCACCTTAAACTGCATTTCCGGTCCTCACTGGAGGCCTGAGCTCCGCGGCACCAGCACGGCTGCCCGTAGCCCTGCACTGGTGGGGCTAGCCCCCGGAGCAGAGTTGGCGACCTTGCTACGACCTTGCTACGAGGGACGCGCCCAGCCTGGCAAGAGCCACTGCACAATCCTGAGGCGACGGGAGGAAGTCGGCTGGGGGCGAGGCCGGCGAGACCCAGACCTCGGGTTTGAGCAGCAGCCTGCAAGAGACTTTGCGCCTTCTGTGAGCCACTGCATTAGTGGGGGAGCCTCTCCTTTGACTTGAGCCATCAAAATATTCTGGATATAGGGGTTTAAATTATTACAATTGATTTCAGCTGTTCTTTTTAATTTTTAATGTGAATACTAGAAAATATAGAATTACACTTTTGTCTTACATTGTGTGTGTGTGTGTGTGTGTGTGTGTGTGTGGTGTATCTTTGACCTCAGGGAATTGCTGACATGTTCAAAGCTCAAACTGCTTTCTTGTAAGATCAGAGAGCAGAAAAATTAAATAAAAATTTAAATTGTCATCATTTCATTTCCATTCATGAATAATAGATACAAATATGTATTCTCAAATTGATATGACCTTATATTCAGTGAAATATGTAAATGCGCCACTGTCTGGGCTACATCCCACTATTGGGAGGAAACTGCCTTAAAATAACTCCATCCTAGGCACTGTGTGCAATTCACAGCAACTCAAAAGAAAAAAGAATTCCAGGGGCAGTGGTGCATGCTTGTAATATCAGTTACTTGAGAAGCCATCACAGGAGAATTTGAGACTCTGTTGAAAATTTAAAGTGTGTGTGTGTGTGTGTGTGTGCGTGTGTTAGCACAAATGATGCACAAATGTCGAAGATGGGAAATGGGAAACAAACCCTGGATCAGCAGACTTTTCTTTTTTAGATATTCAGAGGCTGAGTCAATTGGTGGAACCCTGGCATGGCTCATTTGAGGGGGCAGAAAATGGCCAGGGTCTAAAGCCAGTGTCTGAGTTATAGATGCTTCCTTTAGGGTGGGACAAGAGGTCAATTCCTGGAGTATATTGGGGTTCTGCTTATTCATTAGGGTGGTTCAGGAATGTGAATAGGGCATTTCTTGGAGCTTATTGTATTGGGGTCAGCTGACCCATTAGGGTGTGCTGGTGGGGTGTCAGGTGCCAGTTCCTTTTGTGTTGCTTCACAGTGACTAAGGCCTGGGATTTTAAATGAAAGAAACTTAGGGAAAATGTCCTTAGACTTATTCTCCATCTCTCTCTCTCTCTCTGTCTATCTATAGGGGTTCAGTAGTAGAGTTTCCATACTTCCACTTCCTAATCTGCAACAACAAAAAAAGGATCAGCCAAGAACCTATCATTCCAATTTCATTCAGTCCTGGGTTGTGATACCCATGATAAGAATCTATCAGGGCCAAGATCCGTTTTCCCAGATGTGAGAATTGACCATCCCAGTAACCAAGGTAAGTGTGGAAAGCAAGTTTTATTTAAAATATAGAACAGAGATAGACTTCTCTGCAGAGGAGGGGTCCCAGAACTGGGTGTCAGAGGAAGTGGTGGTGTCCTGCCCCTTTTGTTCTCATGGCCTCTTCTCCCAGCATCCTGCTTACTAAGACCAAAGACCAGAAAGTGGGCCAAAGGTGGAAAGATCCAGACAGGAAGCTAGTGGTCCCAGAGGCATTAATTAACAACTCCAATAACTACCTGCAGAGAGGAACAGTTCCCTGGTGGAAGGCCACCTTGGCAACAGGTAGAGGAGGGAAAAGTGCTCTGGAGGTTTTGGCATTTCATTTCCTCCTGAATCAGCCTCCATCTTTCTGACCCAATCATTTATTACCATATCGACTGCCTATTTCTGTCCCCTCCAGTTGGATGCAATCTACTGTCCCTCAGAAGTTAAGCTAACTAGGCTCAGTGGGGCCTGAAGCCCTGTCCAATCTGGCACTTGAGTGAAGACTCTCCAGTTCATCCACAGCCTATTGAAGTGGGGGCGGGCTTCCATATTCTGATTAAGTCTTTGTGTCTGGATCCCTCCATTCTTTCAATTCTTTTCTAGACACCCTCCTCTATGCTCAGGAGACCCAGGTTTCTGTGCTACACAAGTGAGCAACCTGAAAGCCAGGAAATGGTGAGTGTTCATTCACTGGCATTTTGAGACGGGGCAG